TTAAAGATTTTATCAAAGTTACTTTCAAAATACAGCTTGAGTCATATAAAATTACTGACAGGTTATTCCAATTTCACAATCTATACAAGAATAAGTCTAATGCAGAGAGCAAACTGAAATGGTGATTAAAGTGGCAACTACTTGTGATTTCACGGCCACTTCAATGCACGAATCTATGTCTGATCCATCTCATTACTTATTTCATGGAACCCACATATGGTCCACTTGACGATTTCTCATATTGATGAATTAAAAGCAAAGCACTAAACTTTGTAGATTCCTCTTCTGTTCAGAAGTAGTAAATGCAGCATCCAAAGCTAATGTTCCTCTTCTGTTCAGAAGTAGTGAATGCAGCATCCAAAGCTAATGTTCCTCTTCTGTTCAGAAGTAGTAAATGCAGCATCCAAAGCTAATGTTCCTCTTCTGTTCAGAAGTAGTAAATGCAGCATCCAAAGCTAATGTTCCTCTTTTTAAAATTCTCCAGAAACCATTGATACATGTATCAGTGGGTTAAACTCTTGAATGCAGGAATGAACACAGGCTACTAACAGACAGCTTTAATACAGACAATGAAGGGGCAGATCTATAGTTTTAATCACCTGATTCGTTTCTTTATCCAAATAAAAATTAACCCCCCACCACTTCCTCTGAACCACCCCTTGAATGCTGTCAAGCATGTCTTCCTGTTGCAATTTGAATAGTTTAACCCCAATTTTCATACCTCAGCAGAATCTCCTCAAGGTTCACAACTAAAACATTTCTCTTTTCTTTCAGTTGAATCTGAAAACTTTTGAAAACTAGAACTCATTTGCATGTTCTGAATTTAACTAAGTGCACATCTGTGGAACATCCACATGAATTACTTGTCTGGTTTAAACCATTAGCTAGAATTGGTGAATGCTGGCAAGACTGATAAATACATTATAGAAAATAGTTGTACATGTAGTTGGTAATCCTATTCCTTGGGGATTATTCAATATAAGCAGCCGTTTGGGCAAAGTAAGTAACCTTTCTCAATGATAGATAATTCTTATTTATCACTGAAAAGGAATTCTTTGTCTGAAACTTCTAGTTATATTGAATATTATCAAGCACTATGATTACATATAGCTAGACATCAGAGAACGGTAATCGGTAATGGTAAAAACATTAAACTTTATAAAGAATTGAAAGTAAGGGGAAAATAAAATGTAGAATTATAACAATAACTGTAAACATACGCATATAATCAAAGTAATAAAAATTGCTTTTTCACATTCGCATGATTACTAAGGAATAGATTTCTATAGGTTTCTGGGCAGAAAATAATTTTATATTGGCAAATTGCAAAATGTTTATCCAAATGAATTCTGAGATAATCTTGGTCCACTATAAACTTTCCACCGTAATGCTAAAAACTTGTTGGTTTGTATGGATCTAAGGCATCAAAACTGAACTACAATTTTCAACCACTTTCAGATACATTGAAGTAATCAACATACTTTCAGTAACCTCTTGAATAACATTTCATTTCTCCTAATAATGTTGATGTGATATTTTTGGTATCTTCAAAAAAAACATTGCCATTTTTTTTAACCAAAGTGACATAATTTCCCAATGGTTAGGCGACGTTTGAAAGTTGAATTCAAGGGCTTGAATTCAATGGCTCTAAGTGCAGTAATAATAGTACATCAGTGTGAATGCTCACTGGGACTATCAAATGTATGGAAATCGGCAACTAGTCTAAAGACACCCCAAGGACATTATATTGAAATGTCTTATTTCTACAGGTGTATCTAACTGTGAAAAGATAATTATTACTGCAGAAGTTAATCTCAGAACAAACAAGTTTGTGATTTGTCTTTCTTGTCCAACAGACAAGGAACTAATTAAACCTGTCCTATTGAAGAATTTCAATTGTGTTGTCTAATGGTGTTTGGGCAGTTTTCTTGCGCGTCATATGTAATCTCTCATAAGAAAAGAAATTAGGAACTTAATTTCATTTTAAGGTAAAACTGATATATTTTTCACATTATATAGTAATAAATTCAGAAAGTAATATTTCATATTCTGTATAGGCACTTTGGACTACCCAAATATGACCTCTAGACCAAACACAAGCATACAAGACCTAAAGGGTAAATATCACCCCCTCAGGTTGTTAGTCTCTCCCCTTATATAGACCAAAATGGAATGATCCATTAATTCTAAAATTTCATTGCACTGCCACCATACACAGTGTGGCTGTATAGAGATGCATGTACCCTGACCTATGGTTGTCATGGCAATATTTCTCTCACAACTTTAGTCTTGTCAGATGTACTTAACACTGTGACACAGTGAATTGTTGGACAGGGTCAATATTTTCGTGCCAATGGACAAGCATTGTGACACTACACATCAATAGAGATAGTACAAACACAGAAATGCATTAGTCCGTCTGTGAAAGACTTGCATACCTGCATACAAAGGGACACAGTCGTAATAAAGCAATATACGAGGGAAAACAGCAATCCAGCATAATAGACTTGTCATAATATAGCTTTATTTAAAGTTGTATCATAGACATAAATGTCTTTTGCGAATAATGTATTCAATAAATATTACTTTTTGATAGAATTTGGAAAATGACCAGTCTTGACTTTTTTATTTTGCATTTTATTTTTTATGTTTTAAAACTTTTACTGCTGATTGCTCCTAATGGGGTATTTTGACAGTTTTATGTGCCAGACCATTTCTTTAATAGAAGATGAGATTGACTTAAGGCTTCATTTTCAATAGATGAATGAATATATAGAGGTGACCTTTGTAAAGTATTTGATAAATTGTTTGAGAGGTTTTTGTGGACAGATTAGCTTGTTTTAATCGAGTCTTTCAAAAGTCTCTGTTATATTGCATGTTATAATGGAGAGACAAAAGCATTGGCCGCTTTTACAGCTATGCAAATAATTAGCAAGTAGTTCACCAAATTTTATCAGTGTATAGGACCATTTGAATAGAGGTGTTAATTGATGAACACAGAGTTGGTACAATAGATGCCAACATATCACAGTATTTCTTCACAAGGAGCCATCAAGGTCAGTGAGATTTTATGCACTGACAGATGAAACGTCAAAAACTCTGTGTTTAGACATATTTTAGTCACTGTGACCCAAAGTGGTGCAAATGTACTAACTTTTCTGAACACAAGTTATATTTACACTTTTTACCACCAGACTTTCTTGTCCAAATTTGTCTGCACTTTTTTTTTGTATTTTTCAGTATTTCTGGAAATGAACTCTAATTTTAGAGCCAACAGACAAAATTTGAGTAAATTTTTGGTTCTTACTCAAAAAATTTGTGTCCCAATCTTCTGAAGGAAAGTGCAGACTATAAACGGTACTATTTTGTGAATTTGTGATGAAAAAAGGGAACTGGTGGTGAAAAGGTTAAAAACAAGATTACACTTCTGCAGGGAAACAAAGTTGTACATGTTATTTTTTTTTTTTTGAGTTAAGAACTTTTTTTTATAATTCTGGAGTTTCAAAAATATCTCCAGTTTATGAATCTGAATACAGACTGAGGTATTATTAAAAATCAATAAACATATTGTGACAAACATTTTTTTTTTTTGCTGAACATTTACTGTAAAGCGAAAACTTTGGTGTCATACATCAGTGACCAAACATTACAAGTAAAGTAGATATTAGCAAAGTGACATGGCCTGACTGTGCAATCCTTCAACAAACATGCAACAAGGCACACTGGTCTAATGACTGCAATGTGTACACTAAAAAGTCAGACTTCTCATTGAGTTTTACATGGAGTGCAGCCAAGCATGGAGTAGCAAAAACAAGAACCCATCCAACATTAAAACCTGACACCTAACCTAAAGATGGAGTTCACTGGTGCCGATACTTGACCATCACGTATTGTTTATCAAATTGTGCTCTTTTGGGAGTAGAGGGACATAGAAAATGGACTTATACAACTGTGGTCTGAATAGTATCACTTCTAATTTGGTCTGTCCTTCGTAATTTGGATCACTCCAACTGTTCTGGCTTTGTATCATACCGACACAAAGACATAGCTGACTTTTGACTGGGTGTTTTCAGCATTCATTATGGCTGCTTTTCAATTCGGCTTACCCACACTGTCATGACAAATCTTGAATGAATAAAAGTATTCTTTTTTTTCATGCCTTCTCAACCTTTCTCTAACTTTAACTCCTATAGGCTCATTGTTTTGACTATTATTAACGGAAAGCCTGTCATCTTAATAATCCAAGTACTATTAGATTATAGTTAAGATACAAATGATGCTGGTACTTTACAGTCACAGAGAAAGCCTTGAGAATGAAAAACTTTGGAAGAGTGTTCGTTTCAGGCATGGGTGCACGTAAACATCACAATGATTTACAGCACCACATTACCATAGTGTCGAATATATTGTCTAAAAACTAAAGAAATAAATTACTACTTACACGCATCAAAATCATGCACTTTTCTAGAGTACACAGATGGCTCATAAAAATGAAATTTTTCAAAAAGTAAAAGTGCTATTATTTTATGGCACTTATTTTGTTAGCTCTTGGCGGACTGTTCCACTGCATCCACATCATTCATACACATAGGTCAAGCTCTGCTACTTACTGTACCCATCTGCTCATCAATTACGGTTTTCTTCAGATAATTTTCTCTAACAAGAACACAACATTATCTATCTAATTTATGGTATACCTGGGTCTTATGAGCAAACAATGTGAACCGCTATGTAATCAATTACCCTAAAGAACACATACCACTCTCTTCTCACAACTATTTGTATTGATTCACTGTAACTCACAATATTTTCACCAAAGTCTCCCACGATCTGATAAGTTGATGGGACATGTACGTAAAATAACATTCATCACCAAGTATGCATCCAGACATCCATATTTATAAACCAAAACAGCCTAACAACTACTAACTCACTGACACACTAATTTCATAAATACAGCTTATTTATTTACTTTAAAAATTTTGTTTAACACAACTTACCTCAAATGAATAGTCCGTACCAGGCTCCAATTGGCTGACAATTGCATTCTGGGTACCAGTATTAGATGGCTTGGATACTTGGTATTTACTTCCTTCGACGCTGGCAGCTTGAGGATGATAACGTATTTCATACTCTAGAATCTCACCGTTCGGAAACTCTGGTACAAGCCATTGTAGCTCAATTGTGTTTTCAGTCTCAGCGGTGACTCTAACAGCTCTAACCGTCGACGGAACTATAATAGTTAAAATGAAACCATTTTGTTAATTTATTTTATTAATGTCATATTGCACCTGTTGAATACGAATAATATGAATCTATGAAGCCTCATTCAAAATTTATAATCTGCATTTAATAAGCCTTTATTTTTTGGATATACCGTAAAATCTGTATTAGAAGCCGCATCCCTAATAGAAGTCACACCCATTCTTTTTAAACAATTGAGAACCAAAAAATCATCATTTCTCATATGTGTAGATGCTCTAATAGAAGCCGCACCCCCTCTATTGGATTGTACCATTTTAATAGAAGCCGCGGTTTCTAATACAGATTTTACAGTATATTCATTTCAATGGGCAAAACCAGAAATAAAAATACAAGCATTTGCAATTACATTTCTAAAATGCAGACAGATTTCACAAGATTAACCTCTCTTTGCAATAACTGTGTCACATTTGTGTTATGGTTCTCTATTCGTGCATACAATTTTTATTTCAAAATACAGACCAGCAGACTATAGGTAATACCCTTTGTGATAACACTGTAACAGCAGCTATACAGTTTTTTTACACACACACAATAAACAATACTGTATTACTCCCTTGCATTTTTATGCTGTGTTAGTTTTACAACATACAGTACTAGTATTCACAACAATAAAGTCATAAATTGTATTTTTTAAAAAGCGATATCAAATAAATCAAAAGAAACATTTGATAATTGGGGAGGGGTATATTTCACGCCTACAATGGCATGATGGTAAATCTGTGGTTTGGTGATGAAGATGCAAAGATTCTTGAGACAAAATAGCAATATTCTCTTGTGATATATACAGTTGCTAGGATACTTGGTACAAAAGATGAGATCAGTCCAGAGCCGCTAAATGAGTTGGAGCCATACATGAAAGCCATGTAGTGGGACAACCAGTTGTTGGTCTACATGAAGCCATCATGCTCAATGTCAAAGACTTTTTAACAGTAAATCTCTTTGTTTTGGTGAACAATAGAATCAACAGCCGTGAAACTGTTATTTCTTGCAGTTAACTGGCCTGATGGTGGAGAATCTGGTAGTGTTATTATTTGTAACAGTGTGTGAAGTTGTTAACACATTTGACAAGTATTTGAAAGCAATAAAAATATTCCCAATTGTCAAAACCAATACAAGTATATCTTCAGTTAAAACATCAGAAAAGTACTGACAGGTTTACTTATTTTCATTTTTTCAAACATATTTAGTGTGCCAGCCAACACCTGCACATGTTGCATGTTGATTAATTTGCAAGCACAACCATTTATTCAGGGCATTTTTACATGATTCATCTTTAGAAATTCACATTTCACATAGTGGACTATACCATTCACATAGATGGAGTGAGAGGTATATAGGTTTGTTTATAACGATCTGGAAAAGGACATTTCTAGGCATTTTGGTATAGAATTTGAAAAATAACAGTTTAAATTTTTTGGGAAAAGTTGCAGCATGCGTGAATTCATATGGCCGCCATATTGGATTCTGAACTGAATTGTCCCAATTCATAGAAATTTTAAGACCGTTACCTTTTAAGTAGAGCCATTTTCATATGACAAGGACTTGTGATATCATACTGACACTTGCTTTGTAAAAAAACCAGAAGTCATGCGATATCATACTGACATTAGGGAAATCTTATAATTTTATTCATGATAATGGAATTTTCATATTTCATTTCTGGTGACAATGACGGATGAATTGGTAGAGAGCAGCAGATGGTAGAGAACCGGGTACTAAATACTATTTTAGGATATCATATTGCAATATTCAATCCCAGATGGCATATTGGTGACTATTCACAACAATTAAGGTTTTTGGCTAATGCACATATACATTTTATACTTCAAGTTTATTAATTGAGCATCACCTAGACAATATTGGAAAAATTTGATATTTTTTCAAATTGAAAGAACGCAAAACTGGTTTCTGAAAACATGTGTTTAACTTATATATTAAATATAAAGTTCTCTGGAAATAAAAACATATTTAAGTCAAATATGGAGGTAATAAATCATTTCAAACTAATTCTATTTAGTTCCGAATAATAACTTCTATACAGTACATATTTTAAATTAATATGCTTCCTTCGTTTTTCAAATACCCCTCATAAAAGTTCTTTTCATAATGAGTAAATATATTTTATTTTATTTCTCAATTTGTCAAAATGGTAATGTTGCATGACTAATGTGAAAACCAAATTGCTGTGAAAATTTGAACTGCATTCAGCCAAAACATCTAATGCAAATAGAACATAGTTCATTAAAAAATGTTCTCTGGATATTATTGATATTTTATTCATGACTAGGGGGTGAATACTCCATAGTTCACTTAAAAAAGTAATCTAGACATTTCTCACACTCTAAACATGAATGAATAAGAGGTCAATTCTCCTCAGTTCGCATCAAATAAATAAAATTGTTAACTAGAAGAAAACAACAATTATGGAAAAATTACAATCAACAATTATTTTGATCTGTGACACAAAATAAATTGTTGACAAGATGTTAGTTTTCATTTATTTAATCAGTTTTGATGACACTGTGTCTTGATACATCTGATGGAGTTGTCATGGAAATCTTATCAACTGGTAGTTGGAGGGGGGACAGAGGGTTGGTGGCACCAGCTGTTTTATCCAGACAAAGCAGTAAATGAGTTGGAAAGTTTAAGGTCAACAAACATTGGAAAACCAAACATTACTATTTCACAGATTTACCCCCAATGACTCACACCAGTAAAATGTGTCAGCTGCATTACAGTGGTCCAAAAAACCTTACACAAATGATTTGAAAAAAACTGGCAACAAGTTACTATTCAACAGTGAACAATTAGGAAACAAAGAAAGTATTGAATTGATGGAACCTCTGTCATAATATTTGAGCTAATGGCGACATTAGGCAATCTACAATGATCCATTCAAAGTGAAATTCATTGGGTATCCAACACTCTATCCTAATCATTAAGCCAATCAATAATAGTATGGCCACTAGGTTCATAAATCTGCATTGGGGTTGTACAAAATAAACTGCTGCATATTTTCAGGAAAGCATGATAGCTGATGTTCATTCATAACGTGAGCTTTTTACAAATTCCATAAACTATTTACCATCAGTGTGTAATTATCAATAAAAAAAATTCTTAAATTCTAATATTGGAAGCGACAGAAGATGACAATGACAAATCTTCCATCAGAATAAAACATATGTTTGTTATTTATCAACTCCAACTAATGTAGATTATCTAGAGATTGTATTCTTAAACCCATAGGGCAGACACTGCATGTGCTATTGTAATACAATACAGCTCTTTATAATCTCAAAAAATCCAGATCTCCACTTACCAGGTTCAGTATTATACAACTAAATCTCCTAAAGACAACTAGTAGAAACAACATCCATCATAGAACTAAATCCTTCTTCAATCCCTTGCTGTTAAGAATTCACAATTTTCCAACTTTACACTTACTGGATCCATTCAATAATTTTTTTTAAACAAACTCCCAAAATTCAATTCCATAACCACAGCAATTTCAACATAAAATGGCCACATAATTACTTTAATTTGGGTAAAGACTGTCAGCAAAAAAACATACCAAAAAGCAGAAACAACATAAATTTATTAAAATCACAGATGGGAAATCATTTAAACATAATTTATGTGATCGCCTAAAGCTTGAATTAATTCAACGCTATTAAATCTTTAAAGTCTATTAATTCAGACCTAAAACAGCTTCAGCAGCAACTAACAGTTCCATGTAAAATTTATTAAAGGGCGGTGGTTGTCATGCCGCGTTGTGTTCAATTTGAGACTTAAAGAAACACAAAACATGTAAAATACATGGAATTCAAATCCTCACTGCACAACAACCATCGTTCTTTAAAAGCAAAATTACAGTGTCAAAATGTGCAACCAATTTCTCAATTCCATTCACTTTTTTTATATATTACAAATATAAATACAAACAACAAATATTAAAGACAAGATTTTATAATTGGTATAACTATGAAAGTTGGTGTTAATATTTTAGATATATGCGTAATGGAACAATTCATTATAAATAGGGGTGTGACTTACCAGCTGAGGAGGTAGTAGCATTCACTGTTGCATAACTTTCAATACCACTCAATCTGGACACGCCATTTTCTGCATACACTTTAAATCTGTACTCAGTGTAAGAGTCGAGTCTGCTGATGTTAACAGACGAAGATGTCAGTCCGTACTGTGTTGGTGAATACTGTACTGTGTAAGAACATGGTTGACATTGATCCCCATGACACAGTTCACATTCTATTCTATAGAAAATGTCTATACGTCCACCAGTGTTATGTGGTCGATTCCAAAACAACGTAACCACCGAGGACTCACTGACAGTTGCTCGTACACCAGTTGGCTCAGATGGAGGTGCTGAGAAAAGAAATAAATGCATTAGTTAGAACAATTCATAGTAATAAATCGGGCAAGATCACAAACAAACAAAAAACTTGACTTATAATGATTATTATTAAAAGGCAAGTGTTATTTTGCAAGTTTTGAATAATCAAGCTATTCCCTTAACTACTTCGCAAACACGTAGAAATACTTTCTTTGTACAATTTATGAAAATTAATATATGAGAACAATATATGACATGTAGACATGATTTATTCTATTTGGTAATTTTGATATGAAATGATGCAAAAAGATAGCAGCATTATGGAAGAATAATAATCAGAATGGAAATCAACAATGAGAATGATGACAGGGGAGTAATAAATCGGAATATGAACAGGACTCGGGGGTGGGGGGTATACATTAGAAATAAAATGTTTTAGGAAGTGCAAGGTGTTTGTCCTAAACAAAGAACAATTACCAATTTTAGTGAACAGGTAATAAAAGTGGAACATTTTAAATCCACTCTAGTCATAAAATTGTTGCTGGGATACCATACTTTAATTTAAAGACCAGTTTCTCTTGTTATGTGATGAAGCCTGATTATGGGTTAGCAGACCAGTTCAATAAACCCGCCTCCTTTTCCCAGGACCGAACAGACATATTGACCGAATAACTCCAACACATTAAATAGTAACACTTTGGGTCATTATTCTTGGTTCTGTCAAATATAACAGCAGAACCAAGAATATAATTTTTGATGGTCAGTGAAATTCCATTTGTTATCTGCCTTGGTATGATTTTAAAATGAAAGGTTTTAAAATTCACCAGTTTTTAATTTAATTCACCATTAGTATTGGATTTTTTTTTTATTTCAAGTTATTTCAAATCAACAAACTTCAGTAACTGCCAAAGTTGATGATATTTAAAACTTAAAGAATAATGCAATGAATGCTTATTTTATATATTGTCTTGTATCAATAATATAATGAAAACTGCCAAATCTGAGTATATATGCTGAGTTGCTGAGTTTCAACACAATTTTCTGTTTGTTACTATTTACTGGTTTGTCCTTCAAGATGGGATTACAGTCTCTACTAAAGTTGGCAAGGCCAGCAATATCAAATCACTAACAGGGTGATTTGATCATGTGACTGGTAAGGTCAAAGATCAGGCTTGAATGCAGATAGTTGATCAATGCCTTCCAATTGTTTCATGTTTAGTGGTTGCTATTGAAATGTTACAGAAAATGAGGTATGAAAGTTGGATAAAAAGATGAAAGCAGAATTTCATTTGCAGGGATATGGTAGTATACCTTAACCAATAACAAGCCATAATTTGGATCACATGATGAGCATCCACCAATGAGATATGTTTACTTACACTTTTTTTTTTTGTATGGAGAATGAGTGTAGATAGAAATAAATATGTATACCAACAAAAGTGACTTACCTGTACATGGATCAGAAACAGGGTCTTTGTTTGCTCTGTAGTAGCCTTCTGTGCATAGACATTGTGCAGAGGCCTGGCTTAGAGAATAACTCTGTGCAGGACAAGCTTTACATGCTGAATTACCAATGTTTACTTTGTACTCTCCGGCAAAACAAGCTGCAAATATGAGAGAGAGAAAAATATTACTCATCAAAACAGACTTACACTTCTTTATAGGTGAAATGATGTTGGAACCAACAGTCTAATCAAAGCATGAACAGATACAAACCACTACCAACTATAGATGCAAGAGTCTTTTCACCCATAATTCAACTGTTAGTTTTACCCAAAATGCACTGCAATGTTTAATTTATGCAGTGCATTGTGTTAAGAAGACAGCGATAACTGCTATATGCATTATTGTCAATTGATTTTTTTTTTTGTTAGATAGCTCCACTGAGTCCACCATAAACACGAGAAGATGTTGAAAATAAAATATTGTAATAAAAAGTGCTCCTAATACTAAAATTGTTGTATAGAAAACAGAGCAGTGAAACATATAGCTACTGTACATTAGCTCAGGGGATGTTCAATTAGATCAAATCTAATTCAGCTGTGGCTCTTTCCAGCTTTTACTATTACTACGCCTACTCACCAAAACCTAAAAATATATGGTAAATGTGTCCCTTGTGAAATTCAAAAGTTTCCATGTGTCAACACAATTACATGAACAGCACACACCCGGTTTCAACATCGTCAATTCTCTCTCACCAAACAAACAATGTACCAGATTTGTTATAAGACATACATACATCCATATATTGAATACAAATTCCTTACTCAAATTTACAAATAATCCAAAAGAAATTGTTCTAGCTTCAAAAACTTTTACCTAACAGTGTCCCGTAGTAAAAACAAAATTGAATTGTTTGTCTTTCTTTTTTTTAAGATGAACAAAATTTTAACTTTGATAAATAAAATAAGATTTAATACTTTTTTAAACAGACACAGATGGCAGAAGGTTTCGAGTGCATTTCTGTCATGTAAGACACAGGCGGTAGCAGGTTTCGGGTGCATTTTTTTTAATGTATCCTTTTGCTACAAACTCGCAGGAAGTTATAATATATCCCACATACAGCTACAGCTTATACAACACAGGCGGTCCTTGGTGATGACCTAATAACCTTAGCGATGACCTAGCATTAGTTTCACTCTACATTTTTCCCATAAGCAGCCAACTGCACACCACATACACAAAAAACATTTTATAACTACTACAATCATGTGTAATGAGAATCTAGATTGAACCACACCAACACAACAACAACGAATACAGACATTTCTCCCCTCATATATGTTCCCATTCATCTTATGATGATTGAGCAAGGCAAGATTATGTTAATAACAAATTGTTATGCAAATGTCAGAATAATAAGTCTTTATTATTTTTATGGCTTTTTTAACCCCTTGAGTGCTATAATTTTTGGTGAAAATTTTACCTGTTTTTTATGTATTTTTCTACATTTTTTTTTCATCATTTTGAACCTAATAGCCATGAATTTTTAATAGTTACAAGTCTTTATCAAATTTTTTGAAAAATTATGAAAAAATTATGTGGGTTTAAAATTTGTGATGGTGGCAAAAGTTTTTATTTGTGCTGACACATCATGGTTTCCAAACACAGATGCTACACTCAATGTTACAAAGCGAGAGGCAATAAAGACCCAGACAGCAAGAAAAAGTAACAATTAAACATTGTATGGTATGCAAACTTACATAATTATGGCAATAACAACAACAAGTAATGTTTGGTATAGTGATTAGTTCTGGAGCTATAAAAGACCACCTGGTCACGTTTTCTTTATTCCATTGGTAATAAAGACACATTAAAAACACAGCACCCCAGGATATAGTTTTCTGTGACATTAACTGGATGATAATATTGTCAGGGAAAAAAAAGCGCTGAATTTATTCTAATTAGGCATACTGTATGCTTCTGAAATTAATATATGATTTAGATAATATAAATTGATATGGATGTAGTTCAATGCCACAACAGCATTTTTAAAATTCGTGTTTTAATTTTAAGACTTACAAGAACAGGTTCCAATAAGGAACGTACCAATTTAAATCTGGGGGTATAGGTTTGCATAATATAAAACAAAACTTAATTCACTCCAGTGACTCCAGCATAAAAAATGTTTCATGTGACAACGTACAATATACTGGTACACTTTGATTGTGGGTACATTTTAATTCTGGTAAAAGTTAAAATTTCACAGGAACTGAATTTAAAATTGTTCTCTCTTACAAATTAGGCATGTAGTAGTGGGCATTAATAACAGCTGATACATGGTAACACCAGGATCTAATCCTGATATCCTAATCTGGGCTATGCTTTGCATGTTACACTGCCAAGATTATGCTAACATTAAGGATTAATGCTATACGTTTAGAGTTTGATTATTTTTGCACAAAGCTGAGACAGATCTTGTTTGTTACAACATTTTCCTTTCTTATTTGACTAATTTACTCTGCCATAACATCGTAGACTCAATTAAAAAGCATTAATTCCTGTAAAGTAATAAATACTTCTGTTATCATTGCACAAAATATTTCAATTTTATTGCCAAAACAGTATCAAATTAAAAGTGGTTTAATTTATTAAGCATTTTTAATAAACAAGTAATAAAACTATCAAACTCTCGTAAAACATGATTATTAATCATGTTTACACTATTTCACTATCCACAAATGAATAACAACCATCTTGTGAAACATATATTGTTGGTACATCAAATGTTTGCAACTAGATATTCTTATAATTTCATAGAAGATTTTAAAACCCTATAGAACGTTAACAGCATATATTGTTGAAACATCAAATGTTTGCAGCCGGATATTCTTATAATTTCATAGAAGATTTTAAAACCCTGGAGAATGTTATTAGCTATATTGCGTTTGTTCAACACAGAAGCAGCATCCGCATACAAATATTTGTTAAAACATCGGAATAATTACACAGATTAGGACTGAGTAATGAAGGTAATGAAATGGGGGAAAAAATGAAAGACCCTATCATCACAAACCACACCCATCTCCCTCCCCCCCCCCCCCCCCCATCCAATGAAACATCTCACTATCTCCAACCACGTCTCTTAGACAAATACCTTAAACAAGTTTTCATATTTGCTCCACTAGTAGCACTTACATAACCGTTAGAAGAGTCAGTGGCACTAATTTCCAAATTACATCTGAAGCACTATGCTTTGAATGTGATCAAATGTAGATGTAGTAAATGGATGTTTTTAAGAAACCCCATTATTACTGACAGTGGTAATTGAACTGTTGATCACAAGGATTTGAAAATAACCATTTGTGACCCTGGAATATTCTACATACAGTAATTGCAAAAAGATGTCTGATGAGGTGCTGAGACCAAGAAGGCATGACAAAATTAGTCAGTATATTTGATAAATAAAGGTATATAGTTTAAACCACTATCCTGTCTGATCACTTGTTCCGATTTCAGACAACAATTATACGACTACAGCTATGATAAGACACTTTTCAGACAGCATATGCCACTTGGACAAACAATTTCTTGGCGAAATTGACACATCCATTAACGGAAATTACTCTCAATTTTTTTTTTTGCTTTTATCTCCAATGCTATTGACACAAAAAACATACTTTCCAAAGCACTTGATAACGGCTGGGTGTTGTTGTTTTTCAACTGAAATAAAAAAATTACACTGCACATGACTGATGGAATAATATCAATCATTCTATTGTACATTTAAAAAAGAAAACTCGCTAAGTCAACAATCCGTGATCTACGTCCAGTTGTATGCGCACTTGAGAATCAGAACGTGGAGACGCACACCATAGCTATCACTCAGTGACTGATCCAAAACTGCCGCTACCAACCAAGTGTTTACCGGCACTTATTTCCAGAACTATTAGTGAAAAAACAAACACTATAGAAAAACCGGGAAAACAATTGAAGTATTGTTAACAGCAGCGCTTACCGATGGGTGTCAACAGCATTATTTATGTTACAAGAATTAATTTTCTGGTTCTCAGGTCAAGCAGTGGGAAACGTGGACAATTCAATGGATAATCAAAGTAAATTGTTTTCTCATTCTCATATGCTCAGATGTTTCTTAACTCAGAGAGGATGGACAATATATCAGACTGCCACTTAAGGTAGCGAGACTATTATTTGTATTGAAAATTACGATTTAAAGTAATCTTGAAATATCTATTGGCAGCTTTAAATTTCCCCAAAAAAACAAATTTTGACCAAAAATTTATGATGTGGTCCAGTGTGAAAACATTAAATGTGAAAACATTTTCGGATCACTGTCACCGCCATATTGTTTCAGACACTAAAACAGCAAGATTGGCAGGTAAGTTGTTGATAGGTTTGTTACTGACTGCACCACTGTATTGTTTCAGACATCCAAATGGCAACATTTCTCAATAAGTTGCTGGTATTAAGAACAAACTTTCCATCACAAGAGTGTACCAGTCTGCTAACATGCAAGACTTTGCCAGTATTAATTTATCTGTATAACTTTGTCAAACATTTATATGATTGGATGTAATAGATTGAAAAGTAACTTTATCTTGTATTATTATATTCATTTGTAGTTTCATATTTCCATTTAATGTTGGTTTGATCCAGCTTGTTGCAATCCTGTAACAATCTCAAGACACAGACACACATGGCAAAGCAGTCTTGGTGTCCAACATAGTGGTGGCAGTAAAAAGTCACTTAACAAAAATAAAGTGGAGTATTGTGTGGTCTACTAAACACTACAATAACCAACTACTACAAAATTTTTATTATAGCCAAGAGCAGTTTTCTTCAAATCAAAGACAAAGCTGTCGCTTACATTCAAGCAAAGGGAAACTTTGCACGAATATATTTTTTTGTGAAAATATTTTGACACCATGACTAAAGATGCAAAAAACTTCACCACTGCAAAAATAAATATGTGAACAATTTAAAAAAATTTATACAGTATATATTTATGCTATAATGCAAGACAAGGTAAAGAGAAACTGTGATAAGAACAAAATAAATCAATTCTAGTTATTTATTTAGGGGTGTTCTCAAAGTTTACAATATAGTTGACCATACAAACTCTGGAAACACAACAAAAAACAAA